CATCTCCTGTTTCTCTATCAGCGCGAGGCGATCCAGCAACTCAGCTTTATCACGCTGCAAAACCTCTAGTCGCTTCTTTTCCTCGCTCTTTCTCACTTCCTCGGAGGCTCCTGCCATGACCCAGTCCTCTTCCTTAGGGACAGCGGCGGCCTCCCCAGTCGGAGCGGCAGACGTTAGTCCAGGCACAGCTCCGTCTGGGGATTCTTTGGTCTTCGATGCTCCCTTCGCCGACGCCTCCACCACGTATACAGGATGGGCCCTCGCAGGGCCGCTGGATAAGGAGAAATCTGGCTTCTCGCAGCGGCGCGTGTAGAGATTGAGGCGCACGATGCGGTCGTTCTTAGTGATGAAGTGGATGGTTGCCGGCGGCGTCAGGTAATCCCTGAAGATATCCTGACGCGGATACCAGCTGCAGAAGATCTCGTCCATCTCCTCTGGCGTGAACGGCACCTCCTTATCCTCACGCCGCTGGTCGTTGTCGTCCTCGGTGGCCTCAGGATCCTCGCTGGCCTCGTCCTCGTTCTTCACTTCCTTGCTGCTTCTTGCCTTCTTTCTCTCTTTCTTCTCTTCTTTGCTGCTCCTCGCCTTCTTCTTCTTCTCTTTCTTTTCTTCCTTTTCTTCCTTCTCACCGCGGTCTTCTGGTGGACTCCGCTTCTCTTTCTTCACACCGCGGCCTTCTGGTGTACTCCGCGACCTTGAACGCGAGGAAGCCTCCGCCTCGGGCGGAGGAGGAGCACGAGGCTCGCGAAGAACAGCTCCCCGATCACGCTGGCGGTCGTCACGACGATCTCGATGATGATCTTCACGCTGCTTGGTGTCACGACTCCCGCCTTCACCGCGCCGATCGTCACGGGGCTTGGTATCACGATTGCCGCCCATCACGATCTTGAATATAGTTGCCGTGATCTCGTCGAGATCCACCTCAGCCGCCGTACAAGGCCTCGATGTGGTCAGCTGCAGGCGCACGAGCCGACCCTGGACGAAGTCGAGGCTCTCGAAGCGGCCTTGCTTGAAGAAGATAGGCTTCTTGTTCGTCACGCGCTCCACGATGTGATGGACCGTGGCAAGGTCAGGAAACTCCAACTCCACGCTGTGCCCCTTTGCGTGGGTGTTGGCCAGAATGCGATGGCAACGCACGCATGCATCCTCGTCCTCCTGATCCTCCCCGCGCCTGGCACGGGCGCGCGCACGTTCATCACTGCTCTGTGCGGCCCCTGGGCCGTCGTCGGCGTCCTGGCGTAGGCTCGGCGCAGGCATGCTTTTGGGCCTGGGGTGCATAATGATCCGCTCTGGCGCGTCCGCTCGACCCTCCACTGGATGCCTCTGGGCAGGCACCGACTGGGGAGCACGGCGCCATGGAGCGCGGCCACGACGCTCCTCGGCACTGCCTGCCATGCCAACCCAGTGGACGATCGGTCCATGCACCTGCCTAGGCGCCGGCGGCTTCACAGAGCTCCGCTGGTTGGGCGACGCTGGCTGGCCATTCTTAGGCCCGATCTTGTTGTACGGCTCGCGCTCGCCACTCTTCACCTTGGGGCACTCTGGGTCGCCACGCCAGTGGCCAGGCTGATCGCAGTCAGCACACCGGCTGTTAGCCTTGCGCTGGTCTGTCGGCTTCCGACCAGCCTGGAAGGAGCCGCTGGCGTTGATCTTCTTGGGGTCCCGCTGCCGAGGAGCAACGAACCCGCGCTTCTGACGCTGTACCGCCGTCTTCTGCTTGGCCCTCCAGCCGGCCAAGAACGCTTCCTGAAGATCCTCCGGTGCCTCGTACTCCTCGTCATCTGGCCCGTCGTTGTCCGACGCCAGCTCCTCTTCGACCTCGGCGCCTTCCTCGAAGAAGGGGCCCTCGGCCCCTCCGAGATCTCCTTCGTCCTGGTCGTCTGGTTCATCTTCGTCATGCTGCGCCTCCTCCAAGTCGCCGTGGTGTTCATCGTAGTCTTCGCCGTTCTCTACCTCGTGTACGTGCTGGCCAGAGCGTCCTCGCAGCACGTACGGCCTACGAGCCATGGGAGGGTGCGGATAGCGACCGCCCGAACTCCCAGAGGAGCGCCCGTGCTCACGCTGCGCCGCAAACGGCGAGCGGCGAGGGAGCACTGAGCGCTTCTCTGTGTCGTGCACCTTCGAGTAGGCTGCCTTCAGCACGACCTCCATCCGCTTCGAGTCGTAGATGCCGCCACAGTTGAAGAGCACCTGCGCTCGCTCCTTCTGCGACAGTCCAGCGCCACGAAGCATCTTGCTTGCCAATGCGCGATCGCTGATCGCTGATGTGGGATCCTCGAGCTGCAACTCCATGCGCTTCTTGCGCAGGTACGTGATCCAATCCATGATCGGCTGCCCAGCTCGACGGTGTGCTCGCTCCCACTCCTGATGCACCTGATCGAGGCGCTCGTGATCCATCTTCTCGAAGGCGTCGTCGTAGATAGCAAAGATGGTCTCGAGCGTCTCCTCGCGTCGGAGGTCCGACGCGTCAAGCACCTCGATGAGCTCTTTGGCTCGACCTGTCACTTGACTGTAGATGATCAGGCCCAGCTCCACATCTGAGAGCTGGTTGAGGTTGCGGATGACTTCAACCTCCTTGCGCCACTCTCGGTACTTCTTAGTACTCGTACCGACTGCACCATCGAACTCTGGGAGCTTCACCTGCGACAGCAGTAGACGTGCCCGTCTGGGACCGCCGTCGCCACCACGATCCCGATGCAAGGCCAAGAGCTCCCGCTGGGTCTCGGCCATCACGCGCAGGACCGCATGCAGGTCCGGGGGACCTGTGCCTGCGGAGGACGCAGCCTCCACGTCTGAGCCGTCTTGGCTGGCGGCCATGGCGGCCCACGCGGGTGGTCACAACCACCGAAGCAGAGCACGCAGTGCGTCCGCTGGAGCTTACTAGCTCCGCTACCAATGTCAGTGCAGTTGTTTTCAGCAAAGACCGCGCGGCAGTCCAACTGCGGGTGCGTCCCAGGGCCCTAGGACTAGGGCCAAAACAGCGGCGGGCAGCGTGCATGCCACAAAACAAGACAAGCGTGTACAACATACACACATGGTGGCACGGGCGGCAGAGGGGCAGGGGAGTGCACTCTTCACACTCGGATCAGTGCCGAAGACCCCGTCAGGCGGCGCCTCTGTCGCCGCCCCCAGCGCGCTCCGTGCGCTGGGGAGGGTTCCAGCGCCGATCCAAGAAGTCCGTGCGGGTTTCCGGAAGTGGGTGAAACCACCCCGACCCCCGTGCAATTTCGTTTACCGAGCAGTCCCAGGCGTTTACCAAGCCGTCCTGCCCTGTGCTCGATGCCTTCTGTAGGTGCATTTGACACAAGCCTTTGTTTGTAGGGCTGAGCCGAACAGTGTAACGTCGGCACGAGCATAGATCGGACGGGGCTGGGACGAGGATAAAATATCTGTTCCAGAGCGTTCCGGAATATCTGTTCCAGAGCGTTCCGGAACGCTCTCAGAGCGTTCCGGAACGCTCTGAGAAGGCCGCGGCGCCCGAGACATCCTCCAGAGCCGCCAGATCTCAGACATTCTCGATTTGTCCTCACCCGATCTTCTCCTCGTCGTGGCTTCGTCTTGCGACTTTCGGAGCTCCGCGCGGATTCCTTGGACTGGCGCTGGGCCCTCGCGCGGCGCCTCCGGCGCTGCCCCCGCGCGCCCCGCGCGCCAGGGAGGGGGGGGGATCCAGCGCCGGTCCAAGCGATCCGCGCGGACCTCCCCTCCTCCCCCCCCCTCCCCTCCCCCTCCTCCTCCTCCTCCTCCTCCTCCTCCTCCTCCTCCTCCCTCTCTCCTCCTCCTCCTCCTCCTCCTCCTCCTCCTCCTCCTCCTTCCTCCTCCTCCTCCTCCTCCTCCTCCTCCTCCTCCTCCTCCTCCTCCTCCTCCTCCTCCTCCTCCTCCTCCTCCTCCTCCTCTCCTCCTCCTCCTCCTCCTCCTCCTCCCTCCTCCTCTCCTCCTCCTCCTCCTCCTCCTCCTCCCTCCTCCTCCTCCTCCTCCTTCTTCCCCCGCCGAAAGCCCCCCCCGACCCCTCCCTGCCCCCGCCCCACTGCGCGAGCGAGCTGCGCGTCGCCCATCGGGGACAGCTGCCGCCTCTTGGGGGAGCCACACCTGGAGCAGCGTGAGGGGGGGGGGAGAGGCTCAGGCGGGGCTGCATCGACCCACAATCGTGCATTCATCGCCCGACGGGGGCGCGACAGGGGCGCGGCAGCTGGCCCCGCGCAGGACCGCCCGGACTTGCCATCGGGGGCCTGTCGCCGACCTGTCGATGCCCCCCCCCCCCCCCCCCCCCGAACCAGTCCCTCCAGTTTTGAGTCGGGCCTGTCCCCGCACAGGAGGAGTTCCAAATATAGTAAGAGCATGATCTGGGGGCGATTTGTGGGACCCTTCACCACGTGTGCTTTTGAATCGAATTCTAATTTTCTCCACAGTACAGTCGGGGCTCTGGAGAAGGAACCTTTTTCGTTGGGGAGGGGCTCGGTGTTCCTTGATTGTTTTACAGTTTGCCTTTGGTTTTCCTTAGGTTTTCCATGGGGAATCGAAGTTTAACTTATGGGAAAAAGGGGCCTCGTTCCTTATTTAGGGTTCCTTAGGTCAACGCCCCGACTGTACGCCTGCAGGGGGACGTGCCCGACCCGCGTCCGGTTTCGGTCGGTGCGCGAGGGGGAGTTGCGGCCGTCATTTTTGCGGGTCCGGGCCCGTCGGTTTCGGTCCCAGGCCGTTCTCACTAAGGGGGGGTCTGCTAAAGGGAGGTGTGTCCACCGCCGATAGATCTGCGGGATTCCCACGTACAGTGGGAGCCCATGCCAAGAAACACCCTGCTTGCCTCCTTGGGTTTCGATGGTCTTGCTATGAGAAAAGCGTGACGCTCCCGCACCAGCCATCAACGGACGTCCTGGGGCCTCAGGGTTGGGTTTCTTGTGACGGGCTTCTCGTGGCCGAGCTCCTGCTGCACCTTTGCCACACTCGACGGCAGCCCCAGTCTTGGGGCCACTCCCTCCTGCAGTCGATCCCCCGCCCGAGAGGTGGGCGGCGGCGGGGCGCTCTCGGTCGAGGACCAGCGCGCCTCCCACGCCTTCCTGCAGCGCCTGCTCGGCGGCGGCGGCCCCGGGCACGGCGAGCTGCGGCAGCTGGCCGAGGCCGCGCGGCGGCTGCCGGAGGGCGCTGCGCGGCTCGTGGCGCAGGCGCCGGGGCCCGCCTCGCGTCCGCCGCCCCAGAGCGTGTCCGCGCCCACTGCTTCGGAGGCGTGTGCCGGAGATCTCTCGAGGAGCGGTGTTAGGGTCGACTAGACGTAAGAGTGACCTTTCGCCAGAGTGACCTTTGGTGCGGGCACAATGGGGTCCCCCGATCACCGATTGCGATGCGATGGTAGCGTCCTGCGCGCCTGAGTTTGGTCCCCCCGCGGCCGCCCCAAAGCCGCGCACCCAAGGTCACTCTTACCCAGGGTCACTCCTGCGTGCAGCCGATAGGGGAACGAAGAGTGACATACACATAAAAAAAAAACTCGGAGCGCGGATTTCTCGGATCGGCGCTGGACCCCCCTCCCTGGCGCGCGGAGCGCGCCAGGGGCGGCGCCGGAGGCGCCGCCGGGGGGCCCCAGCGCCGATCCGAGAAATCCGCGCGGAGCTCCGAGTTTTTATGCTGATGGCACTTTTCGTTCCCCCAGGTGCGGAGGTGGGTCTCTGCCCGCCCGCGTGGGTGGGCGGAGATGTCCACGTCTGCAGCTCCCCGAGTCCTCGGCCCACGGCCCAGCGGCAGCGGATCTGGTGATGTTCCGGCGGCGCAGCGGTTCCTCAGGGGCCAGGGGAGCGACGAATGACATAAGCATAACAAGTCGGGGGTCCGCGCGGATTTCTCGGATCCGCGCTGCTTGCGGCGCCTCCGGCGCCGGCCCGAGAAATCCGCGCGGAAATCCGCGCGGACCTCCTAGTTTTGATGTTTGTGTCATTGTTCGTTCCCTTATTCCTTCGGCACAGACATCGGGCGTCTCGAGAGCATCGAGACGGAGTTGTTTTTCTCAGTTTTTGGGGGCCGCCTTCGGGCCCCGTCCCCGGGCCTCTCGGGGCCGTGAACGAGAAATCGAATCGGGGCGAGGGAGGAGGAGGAGGGGGAGGGGGAGGAGGGGGAGGAGGGGGGAGGCGGTGTAAGGGCGGGGGAGGCTGCGGAAGGGGTGCCGGGGGAGGCGGGGAGGGGGGGAGCGGGTTGCGGGTGATCTGGCCCGCTCCTCTCAGAGGAGGGGACGGTGCCGCTGCACCGCCACCTCCGGCCTCGTGTTCGTCTTTTTGAGCCTCCTGGGAGGCCCTCGTTCGGCCGCGCTTAGAGGGTTAGGGGAGGGGGGAAGGCTTCTTGGAAGCACCCCTGCTCCTGTGGAGGCGCGGGCCTTCTCTGTAGATCAGGAGGAAAAGAAACACACAGACACAATTAATCGTCCACTCCCAGGAAAATATGGGAAAATATGGGAAGTGGTGGGGAAGACAGAAACCCAGAAAATATAGGGAAATATGGGGAATCTTTTTATTTGTGTGTATTTATTTGTGTGTCCCAGGGCCCCTTCAGTAGAGGGGTAGGGGAGGGGGGAAGGCTTCTTGGAAGCACCCCTGCTCCTGTGGAGGCGCGGGCCTTCTCTGTAGATGCAAGGCCGGCGCCCTCTAAGAAGCAGTCCCCTCCTAAGAATCCCTCCCCCTCTCCCCCTACCCCCTTGTGGGCGCCGCTGAGGAGCGGTGCCGATGCCGCTACCTCTGCCTCGCTCTCGTTTTTCGGAGGCCTCCTGGGAGGCCCCCGTCGCCACGGCTGGATCCGCCTCGAAACTCTGACCAGGATGCACCCCAGGAGAAGTCTGGGGAGCAGCGGTGCCCCCCCGAGTCGATTCCATTTCGATGGCCTCGGGTCCCAATCCGCTTCGGCTTCGGACGTCGACCTGCTCGAGGCCTCACTGGGCCGCCGGTCTCTCCTGCCGCCTCGCCAATCTCTGCCAGCCCGGCCGCACATTTTCCGCCGAGCCGATTCATTTCTGGAGGGAAAGAAACACACAGACACCAATAATCGTCGATTCCCCAGAAAATATGGGAAAATGTGGGAAGTGGGGGGAAAGACAAGAACCCAGAAAATATGGGGAAATAGGGGGGCTCCTGCTACTTGTGTCTATCTCTTTGTGTGTCCCAGTTCCCCTTCGTCATTTCGACCGCGATCCGACTCATCGGTTCGATTCTGGGCTCTCCCGCAGGTGCTGGGCGTCCCCGCTGGCGCGGCCCACGCGTCGGCGGAGGGCGTGGCGTCCATGGTCGGCTCGCTGACCGCGGAGTCGCTGGGGCTGCTGAGGCGGCAGGGGCGGAACGGGTACTGCCCACCTGGGGCGCGAAGAGAATCGCGCTCCGCACGTCGCGGCTTGGGTTGGATCGGTGCCCTTCCCCAGGGCGGTGGCGCGAGGGCGCGAAGATGACCTCGCGTCGCGCATCGCGGGGCGCGGTGCGCGAAGTTTGGTGATAATGGGATACCGCTACCGCCGCCCCTGCCTCGTTCTCGCCACTTCTGGGGCCTCCTGGGAGGCTCCGTCGCCGCCACCGCTGGACGCGCCTCGAAGTTCAGGTCGACACGCACCCCGGGAAAGGTCCGAGGAGGAAAAGACGCTACCACCAGGAACCTGGGGAGCTCCGCGCGGATTTCTTGGATCTACGCTGGAGCTCCTTGGCGGCGCCTCTGGCGCGGCCCAGGCGCGCTCCGCGCGCCAGGGGGGGTCCTCCGCCGAGCCAAGAGATCCGCGAGACCCTCCTGAAGACTGTGCCGAAGCCGCTCCTTTTTCCTCTTCTGTCGGCCTCCCGGGAGGCCTTCGTCGCCACCGCTGGCCAGAAGTTAGAACGCACCCTGGAAGGTGCCGGGGGAGTAGCAGCATCAGCACCTCGTGGAGAGGAGCAGCGATAGGGGTGGAGTGGGTCTGGGGGGGCATTGGCCCGGAATCGGCGATGCATCGCCGAAGGAGCGGCGGCGATGGGGCCCCGACGGCAGAGCCTCACGTTCTCGGGCGGGGTGGGCCATCGAGCCCCTATCCGCGATCAAAGGGCGATTCGGGGTCGATGCGCCCCCCCTGAGCCTATGATTACTAGTATTCCTCCTCCTCCTCCTCC